CCTCCAGACCCCCTCAGGCACCTTCAAGACCCTTCATACGCCTCCAGCCCCCTCAGGCACCTTCAAGACCCCTCATACACCTCCAGACCCCCTCAGGCACCTTCAAGATCCTTCATACACCTCCAGACCCCCTCAGGCTTATTCAGGCCTCACCAGCCTCCTTCATAGACATTCATACACCTTGAAGCACCCTCAGGCAGTTTTTGTGCTGTCGGGGTTAAAACAGGTAGAGTTTTGAGTAATCTGAGATTTGCTAACAATCCTGTGAGCTAAACATGAGATCATTTCCTGCCTTTTCTGTTTGTTTAGTAAAATCTTCCATCCAGTCACGCCGGAGTCTGAGATGAGTCACAAGAAATCACGGCACCGAGTCCGGAGCTCCACTCCGAGGAGACGGATGTTTGTAACCGACCCGAGGTGTTTACTTCAGCTGCAACACAAAACACGATCCAGGCAGCAGTTTTTAATCAGCTCAGCTCGATCGGACGGACTGAAGCTCCACAAACGAATGAGCCCGGGGGAGCACGCTCTGTTTTAAATTAACAACCCCCCCCCCCCCCCACACACACACACACACACAAAAAGAGCGGGACGCTTCTTTGTTTTATCAGCTCAGAAAGTCAGACATGTCCTGGGTTGAAAGGCAGAAACAAACTGCTGCTTTCTGTCACTCAGACCAGTTGAACACGACGACAGATCAGAGAGCAGCTAAAACCGTCTGAGAGGCTGCAGAACGTCCCAAACGGAGTCATTTTAAACAATTATAATAATAAATTAACTCATGACGAATGACAAATGAAGCTCTAACAGCAGTTATTACAACATTTTGTTGTGAAACATTTGTTTTACAAAATCTTTAGGTTTGGATCATTTGTCAGAAAAAGCAGCCGTTTGTTCATATTTCCATCATTTCTTAAACAAAGCAGAAATCTCTTGGTTGCAGCTGTGGACTATAAGAATAAAAATACAAACCAGACCAATAAAAACAATAAAAATAAGAAAAAGTAAGCAGGACTATTACTGATGACAACAGAATCCTAAACTAAGCTCTTGATCCACCAACATTTATTCTGTCAAACAAAGTCAGAACTGTGCTGAAGGTCTGTACTAAAAACATGTTCTGTGTTTTAACTTTACGAATCAAGACAATATTTAGTTCATTTCTTCCAACGTACAAATCTTTTGGTGGTTTACTGAGCTAACTGGTTAACGTTAGCCCATATTTGGACCCTGCAGGTAAAAGAGGACCAAACCAGATCTGATGTTTTATGACTGAACGTGACAAATGTAATTTAATTACACGTCACTTTCAGATGTGGTTTTAAATTCAGTTCCATGTTTTTAGGAGTGATCTCAGTCTGAACATTCATGTTGCATTTTATCAAACTTTCACACCGTTGAGGTAGAGATTCACGAACCGATCCAGATATTGATTATATCGAAACCAGCCAGCGTTGTGCAGTTTAAAACATAAATTTCTGCACATCTTCGGCTACAGAATAGCAGTCGTTTCCTCTAAACTCTTAGGACTTACCAACACATCCTGACCCGAGCAGCCAAATGAGCCCGAATGAGCTCCGGCTGCAGAACAAAACATGAATGTTTTGTTTGTTTGCTTGTTTGTTTTGCTGCCAAAAATGAGTCAATAAAAACACCATCTAGACATCCCAAAAACTAAAAAAAATGCAAATAATCTTCCTAATCACAGTTTTTTTTTTTTTTTTTTTTAACAGGCATGTCAGGAAATCCCTTCATATAACAGTTGGCAACATTGTGAAGCTTGGGGATTCCCCCTTTTTAAATACAGAGCTGGGCTTCTCGATGGCGACACTCCACACCAATAACAATGACGTCTTCAAACAGGGACACTTGTAAACAAGACTAGCTGCCCCCCCCCTCCACACACACACATGATAAATCACCAAATTTCAACAAACTACGGATTATTTTGAAGCTTTTGAGATGGAGAATTAGAAAATATTGTAACCTAAAGTAGAAAAATTCTTCAATGAGACTCTTTGACAGAATGGATCGTATCGATGCCAACGTGACGGGATCGCGTGAAAAGCTTTAACTGTTCGATTATAAACTGAATAAACGTGATTTTATGCAGATGAGCTGCACAGTTTGTTGCTTTTAGTTGAACAGGGTGACGCAACAGAAATTTAATGAACGAACTGTGGAGGCTGTTTGGATTTAATAAAGAGCCGCTCTCCCTTCCTGACCTTTGACCTCGACGTCAACAGCCCCTCCCCTCCTCAGTTTCAGCCTCTTGTTTGGTCCAGTTACATAAGAGCTCAGGACGTGATTCAGGTCCGTTGAACTGGTTCCACTTCCAGGTCCAGTCAGGACCTGGTCTGTGGAAGATTACCCTCCAGGACTCCTCCAAAGCATTTCAAAGCGACATACTAAAAACAGAAATAAAGCGTTACAGCTTGGTGCAGCTTTCACAACATTCATGGATTTAATGCTCTAAATGTGTATTCTGTGCATCTGAATGGGTTTTAAACGTTAATTTTATTTTTTTTACATTAAAGTGGAGTTCTTTTGCAGCCCAGACCAAAGTGGATTTTTTCTTCTTCAAACAGCTCTAATCTCAAACTCGTGTGAAAGTTGTTTTTTAACAATGTACTCCTCCGTCAGGTTTGCATTACGCATTTACTTCAGCAGGACACGACTCCTGCAGGAAGTCAGCCAGGCTTGTTGCTCTTAAATAACGTCGTAATCAGATGCTGAGCGGGGCGTTGAGGTTTATGAGGTAGTGTTTGCACGGTATGACTTGTGACACTGAAGTTGTTTCAAGATGGTCCAGCTTTAGTGAGGAAGTCTCTAAAATGTCTCAAGCATTTTTCTCACGCAGGTCGACGCAGAGCCTCACACTTGTTTTGGAATACATAAAATAATTCTTACACAAAAGGACCACTTACGGCCCGTCGACAAACTATTATACAGCAATCTATAGTGATGGCCTGGACCTAGTTTAACATTTGGCCTTGATTTGTGACCTTGACCTTAGAGCTGGGGTGATGAAAAGTGAACGCTACACTCCATCCGATGATGATGCATATGTGTATATTTGCATATGTGTCAAATCTTGATTGTAAAATGGTTCACAGAATATCGGGCGCGGTTTAGACCAGCCAGGCCACCAGATGGCGCTGTGAGCTCGCAGACACTTCATTATGAGAAGAGTTTCCTCCTAAGCACTGACCCCAGGAACGTGACGATGAGGCGGGGAGCTGCTCTACGTTAAATTATAACTCACAAAGAGTCAGGTAAAGGTGGACGCAGGGCTCACGTCAAAAACTCCCAATTTCAGGTAAATTGTTTTATGTGAAACGATGCCGAGTCATGGATTTAAAAAGTTTCAGGGTTGATGTTGTCGTGTGGACAAACGGTTCAAAATGTAACAGAACTGTTCTGATTTCTTTAAAACGGCGTCGTGTAAACTGGACCTTGTTTCCGTGGGTCAGAAACTTTCAAGAAATTAGAGATTATTCAATGCGCTTGTTTATTTTTCAAATCAACCTTCTTGTTTTGACTGAGCGAAGTTTTATTTTGTATCCTGTTTGTTTCTAATTGTTCATCACTTTGCTGCTGATACGTTGAAATTTCCCCGAGGGACAAACAAAAGATTGTTCTGTTCTATCATAAATTGTGATCAAATTGGAATAACGAACACTTTTAGACTAAAAGTGAAACCTAAATGTTTGGATAATTCACAGGAATGTTGCATGGATGTTATAAGTTATCCACAGTTACCTTCCTACGTGTCATAAATACATAATCTGAGTGATTTCTGGTCAAATCTGCACATTTTTTGTGTCTCCAAGTAGCTAAATGGTTGTTATTTCAGAACGTAACTATTTGAGGTCCTTCAAAGAACTACATCTACAACAGGTAAGATAGTTTGTTTGTAACTTCTCCACAGAACCAAACATTTCTCAGTTTATTTAAAACCACTAAAAGCAAAGGGGGTTATTTAAACTCAAACAGATTCAAACCAACAAATTGTTCCGTTTCTTCCCACTCAGCTCATAATCTGTTGGTTTTACACTAAAACCGGTTTTCTTTATTTAAACAAAAAAAAAAAACAACTTTGCAAACACGAGCGGATCTGCGTGTCCGGATTTGGGCTGGGTTCGATTTTTTTGATCCAGTTTTAATCCAGTTTAAGATTTTCTTCAAGCCGCCCTAAAAAGGCACAAAAACTTTGTTTTTAAAAGAAACGGTGACAGACTTCAGGTGCAGTCGAGTCGTTTGTTCTGCCCGACCCGCTCCGGTTCCTTAAAATAAACATTCAAATAAATAACATCCCAGCTGGAGGAATAATCTGTTTTTATTCCTGACAACGTGGAAATAAAAACAGAAGCCCGTCGTGTTTCTGTGAACAGCTCCGGCGTGATCCAGAGTTGTTCTGTCAGCGCCGAACGGGCCGGGCCCCCGACACACAAAGACCACGATCAATGGAGCTCTGGAAAAACTGATGGAAAACCACTAAACCGCCCGCTGAGCGGCGGGGGCCGAGCATCACCGGCAGCAGCCTCGCCTTCTGACCGGCCGAACACAAAGAACGGGTCGATACCGCTCCGACTTCCCAGAAACCACATCCAGGCTGGAAGCCCAAGCCCAAAGGCACAGCGGCACCGATCGAAACAACAAACTGTGGGACCGACAGCTCGTTTATACCAACGCACACAAGGACAAGAAGCCCACGTTTACAAGGAGAACCACTTGCTGGGTCGGGTTAAGAACCACTGAAGACAAACAGGAAGAAAAACAAACAAAAACTACATTTTGTTCAAATATCTAAAAAAAAAAAAAAAGTAAGAAATCCTTAAAGGTAAAAACACATTTCATAAACATTGAATCAGCGTTCACACAGACAGTTTCTGGTTGTTTTCCTCGTAGTTTTTGTAATTTATCTACCTCTGCACACTTTGTGATATTTTAGCCTTTTATTCTACTAATCCTGTTTAATCTACTTTTATTGTCTTTGTTTTATTCTTAGTGTTTTTACACCTTTACAATGTGTTGCTGGAGACACGGAGACCTGAGGAACAACATTTAGTTTAAACTCATGTGACGTCAGTAACGAGAAATATTCCTTGAATTCTTGAATATTGAACTTTATTTATAATTTTACCCTTAATAAATAAATACATTTCTTCAGATCTTAAAATCTGCTTTGCTGCTGCCGCTTCTCATACCTTTAGCTAGCCTTTTGAGATCTTTAGCTAGCCTATTTAAGACTATTAGCTAGTCTTGTTGCCTTTAGCTAGTGTTTTGATCAGTTTTGGCATCTGACACTTCAGCTTCTAGCTAGCCTTGTTATGCCCTTTAGCTGGCCTTTTGAGACATTTAGCTAGTCTTTTGAGACATTTAGCTAGTCTTTTGAGACATTTAGCTAGTCTTTTGAGCTACTTTTTAGATAAATTTAGTCTTCTGGCACTTGAGTTTCTAGCTAGCCTTTTGATGTCTTTAGCTAGGCTGTTAAAACACTTAGCTAGCATTATGAGACCTTTAGCTAGCCTTTTGATGTCTTTAGCTAGGCTGTTGAAACACTTAGCTAGCATTATGAGACCTTTAGCTAGCATTTTGAGACATTTAGCTAGCATTTTGAGACATTTAGCTAGCATTTTGAGACATTTAGCTAGCATTTTGAGACATTTAGCTAGCATTTTGAGACATTAAGCTAGCATTTTGAGACATTAAGTTAGCATTTTGAGACATTAAGCTAGCATTTTGAGACATTAAGCTAGCA